AATTTTGGTTTAAATTGCTACTCTTACTTCCATTTTGTATGATTAGGAGTCTCCAACCTATGAAAGGATTATTTTGTATTCTGAACTTAGATAGAAAGTAGGGATCCACAATAGACATTACGATCGCGTCAGGCCCTACCACCTAAGTAAAATTTAGAACATGTTTGATAAGGATTTTAATCTAATTAAAAATAATTTTTTGACCGTTATTCCATTATTTCAGCCGTCATTTTTGAATTATTCTCTCATAGATAAGGCTCACTTTATATCTAACGATCAAAAAATCAATAAACAAAATACCTACCAAATAAGCACTTAGGCCTAATAAGACATTTTCATTATTTCTAATATTCATTTAATTATTTTAAAATTATAATGATAATTCAATTTATTTATTTAAGCTAAAAAATTGAAAAAAAAAAAATTTAAAAAATCAGGCCTTTTCATGCTAAGCTCAGAGTCTTCTCTTTTCACGCCTAGGCCTACATTAGGTGCATCTTTTCGCACCTAGGCTCGCATTAGTTGAGCCTTTTTATGCTAAAGCTCACATTACGGCAATATAATTGTCTTCTTCATGCCTTTTCCATATAAGGGGGACATGCCTCACATGTATACGTCGTCTATTCCTACCTTTTAGAACACTGCCAGCGATTAGTAGAGAAATTAATTTGCACCGTCCAATAAAAATGCTTACTTTGGTCAAAAGGATACACAAGCAAAATGAGCTTAGATGCAACACCATCCATTCCTGCAAGCATACGAGTAGAAGACTCGGTAGATAGAGTTAAGCATATAATTTCTTCACATTTGGAACAAGAACCAACAGTTAACACATTTTGATCACAAAATGTCCCACTTAAATATAATTCCTGTAGTTCTGACCCATAGATTAATATATGCATAACATAAAAGGCTTCCATTAATACACAATCAACCCTTCAATGAGTACTTCTTTCCAGAGAACGGCTGAAACTTCGGCTCTTCTTTCTTCGGAGGCTCCGGCTTTGTCTCTTTTGGAGTGTCCTACAGTATATAAACAATAGGTTTAAGATAAATACGCAACAACGGCCCAGCCCTCGGACGGGCGTGAGCTGGCTGGTTTACACCACTATCCTGATAAAGGAAAATAAGGCTTGAGAGAGAGGAACCTTCTGAGCTTCTCCAGTCCGATTTGTATTTGAGCCGAAGACAAGCTTTCCCTGAGATTGACGGCTAGTGCTTTGTGAACTGGAACTGGAAGCGGAAGATTGCCCAACTCCATTGGAAGTACCAGGTGTCCTGTCTTTCGACCCTGATGATGAAATGGGTGGGGACAAGTTCTTCAGAGGCTTTCCATCCAAGCGTCTGGCAACACCAGTAAAGGCATTGAATTTTGGTTCTTCGGCTGGAGGCTCCTGACCTGAACAAATCACCCAAAAGCGGGAAATAAATTTAAGTTTGAGTCCTAAAATGATTTACGGAATGAGAAAATCTATGGTGCATAGGAAACAATCTATTGTAACATTGAAAATGACAACTATATAATAAAGAAAAAGGTATCAGAAATAAAGTACAAAGTGATAAAATAAGAAATGTAGCACCTTCTGCCGGTGCTTTGCCCGTTGGAATAGATGTGGCACGTTTTTCAGGCTCCTTGTAATCAAGAGGAGGAGCAAAGTCCACTTCACAATCAGTTTCTATAATACTTATTGCATTTGAAGGCTTCGACTCTATGATGTCTATATAGTACTTTTTATTATTGTAAGCCACCATAATACTATCCCCTGTGGTTAAGCAAGAAAAGTTCCTCAACGTAGTCTCCAAACTGCATTAGACATTCAGAAAATTAAAAATTATAACTTGGATATGTATTTTGCCAGAATGATAAAGAAAGCACTCGTTCAATTATTAATTCATCTATAACTATTAGGTACTTTTGCAAATGTCAGTTAAGATTGGAAATTTGAAGAAACAGAAGATGACAGGCTCCATAGAGAGTTAAATCAAACGAAGCNGTGTATGTCAATTTATTTGATTTTTTGTCACTTTTTCAAATGTTTTTAGTCACTTTTTTCTATTTTTTCTCACTTTTTTTTTTAATTTGTGTTAACTTTTGTGAGTGTACGTCATTTTCTTTGAATTTTCGTTACTTTTTTGAATGTTTGTCACTTTTTCCAATTTGTATCATATATGTCACTTTTTCAGTGTTTGTCACTTTTTCTTGTCATTTGTCATATGAATTGTTCTAGACATGATGGATATGTTAAGAACATGATTATTGGTGCTGCACAAATGAATGATGCTATTTTGATGTTTGTCAATTTATTTATTTATTTTTTAGTTTTTGTCAATTTTTTTTAATTTTGTCACTTTTCGAGTGTTTGTGTCACTTTTTTTTTTTTTTAAATTTTGTCACTTTTTTTTTTAAATTTTGAAGAAAGTGACCATTTTTTTTTACAAAAATGTGACATTGTGTCACTTTAATTTTGCACAGTATTTTTTACTTCTAAAAAAGTTTTCATATGATTTTTCAAAACATCTCTAATTTTAAGGATATTTTTGTAAGTTGCCCTATATAAAACCTGCTAGTTGACCCAATCAAATCCGATTTTTGACAGGACCACTTGCATTTACATAATATGATATTGCTTGGTCTGGCCAAAGGTCCAGATCAATGGTTTACCGCGCCGGATCAGTTTTAATAACACTGGTCTTGAGTACAGTAGGTCGATCAATATTCAATGTTCATCTAAGGAAAGTTGGCGCAAATCAAATAATATGCATAAAAAGGAACAGCAACATTCAAACAAAAATGACTTCATAAGTTTCCAGTCTTCCAGAGAGTTCAAACACTTATAAATACCTAAAACCAATAATCTCGCGTTTCGAAACTTGAATCGTATAGATATGAGCAAACAATCTTATTTAAATGCCATTTTCCCTTTTTTTCTCTGATAAAGTAGCAAATTATTATCGATACCCTATTTGTGTTGTTTCTGATATTGTAAGAAATGTGAAGTCACAATAACTATTGTCAAATTATTTAACAATTGTTAGTTATTATTTGAAAAAGAAAAGAAAATATATAATTATCCAATTAGCAAAATTTTAGCCATGCAGCTCTTGTCTAGTGGGTCAATGAAATGTCATCATTCTAATGGTAAATGTTGGAACATACAATCTCATAAAGAAGCCCTGAAGTTGAAGGCTCAAAAAGCCCTGAATTCTCTTGCAGCCTTGCTGCTGAACACTGTTGACAGCTGGTGGTTGGCGGTTGGTTTAGATAGTCAGCCAAGTGAGCTGAAATGCGTTACACAGTTCAAGGTTGTTAGTTTAATTGGTTAGCCAGCCATTTTGTGTCTATAAATGCAGGATTTTGTACTTTTGTTATAAATTCAATTTTTCTAATCATTAATGAGAAATCATATTGATCTTCTCTCAAATTTCTTCTTTGATTTGTTAATCTCTAATGCTAGGTTTTGTGAATTTTACATGGTATCGTAGCTAACTTTATATTTCTACTGCTTCCTTTTCTGATTCTTCTTGAATGCATGGTGTCTCGGGCCGAGCCTCATTTTCGAGCGATGGCCCAAGCTTGAGCTAACCGAGCCAACTCAACTCAACTTGATAAGGCCCAAATCAAGCTTCGATTTTTTGGTCGAATTTTGGCTTGGCTCGACCAAAAAAGCCCGAGCCACTTTTTGCCTAGGCTGTGAACTTCAACTCACAAGCCGGCTCAACCTGACTCCTTTATGTCCCTAATGATATCAAAGCTAGCTTTACATTTTCAATTTTTTTTTTTTTCTTTACAAGGTAACCCGCATCCGCGACCCGAAAGTGCGCACTAGGTAAACCCCGCCTTGTGATCCTAGCCAGCAAAGGACCACAAGGAGGTAAACCAGCCTAGGTTACTCATAGCTGACCGGTTCAAACCAAGAAGGCCAATAGGCAGCTCCAACAGGAATCGAACTAGCAACCTCACGATTACTAGTCCAACTGCCCAATAACCGAACTAGCAACCTCACGTTTTCAATTATTGATTTGGCGATGTTTTGTGAATGAATTGTTATAGACTTGGATAGAGATTTTTTATATTCTGCTCAGGTTTGAAAACAACGATGGCTTCCAGGCTTTATTCATCCCTTCGCTTTTGGGTTACTCGACATTAATGCAATAAATTTAAATCAAACGACAAGTTCTAATAATGATCTACATCACATAAAACATTATTGACATCCAGCGGATGCATAAGAAATTACAATGAGACTAAGTCTTATTATTTTTTTCCCAGGGGATTGATTTCTTGTATAGCCACTCTCCAGCAAGAATGATTGGAGAGAATGCTGGAAAACCAACTTTTCAATGGTGACACTAAATTAAGGCTTTCATAAAATGAATAATTAATCCAATGGACTCTCTTCCAAGGGCTGCTTCCTTTGAGTACTGGTCTCGTACTCTCTCTCGCCTCTCTATCTTTCTACACAAATGCACAATCAATTTTCCGTCAATCAAGGTTCTTTTGGAAAATATTCAAGGGGAAATTTCCATTTCACTTCCTGGGAACTAAACAAATGCTCAGGTCTTCACAGGTCAATGCTAAGAATTCAAGATGGTATCTTTCCAAGAATAAATTGATTATGAGTAGATGTCTTAAACGTGGTAAACGTAAAATACAGACGAGAGGTTAATGCAGATCTGTGAACAGATTGAACACACAATACAAATGATGTTCCCCCCAACTGCTAGCAAGTGGGAAACCAAAATAAAAAACTAGTCAAGCTTCTGCAGTTGAGTCCTTTTTAATCATTCTCCTCTATCTTAATAATAAAATTTTGAAGCTCGTCTCATTATTCAGAAAGGGAATTCTATATTTGCCTAAGCATACTTAGCAGCCAGACTTTAGGGTAACTCAGATAAAGACACGATGCAACAACGAATGAATTGATAACTATTCCAGGTGCATATCTAGTAAACAAGAAACTAATCTTTGTTCCACATAAATTTCAGGTTGGCAGATCCAAAGAACCTAAATGTGTACCAACTACAGCAGGCCATGTTAGTTTTGGTCTACCTATCCCTCTTCTAGCATGTTCTACCAAGATTGTGCTTATCTTGCAAACACGAACATAAAATTAATATTAAGCAGATACATAAAGGTTTCACAATTTCTGCATTTCCACTTTTTTTCACCTTTGATCCACTTCCTAGAAATTTTCATTACTAAAACTTCTCCTACTCCAAATACTGAGATGAATTTCTGGGCATCGCCAACCAATATGATCATGGAAAGATCTTCCACTTACAAATGCAGCTGTCTACCCGCTATATCCCTAAGTAAACAAAGTAAGTGACGTACCAATTTAATGCTCACAACCGATGGATAATCTGCCAAAAAGGGAACCTTCTCACTAATCAAGTAGAATTAAACTAGTTGTACATTCAGTTTGCACATTAAGTTTGACATTCATGATGTGTCAAAATCATGGCCATTGATTTGAATAGGTGATCAATGGCCATGATTTTTGACAAATCATGAATGTCGTACTTTTGATTGCGTATGAAAAAAAACAAGTTGAAATTACGAAGACGCTTTTTATATTCTTTTTCTATGAAATTCCTTCTAAAATAGTGTGTATTTTCAAGCACGTGAATCTTATGATAAGTTAAGCATTCCTCAAAGGATACACTACACAGAACAAAACTATCCTAAAATCAATAATATCATACGAGAACTGGAATTTCCTCTTACAAACTACTGCTGACGATAGTCTTGCTAAACCTCAGGAATGTAGAAGACACTGGATACTAGTA